TGTGTGTGTGTGTGTGTGTGTGTGTGTGTGTGTGTGTGTGTGTGTGTAAGGAGCCTCCTCTTCCCTGTGGAACTGTAAGCATCTGCTTGGCTTCCCCTGACAGGGACATTAATGACAGCCACACCCTTCCTGTCCTTTCCTGCGGCAGATCCTGACAGCGAGTGGCGACGGCACGTGTGCCCTGTGGGACGTGGAGAGCGGGCAGCTGCTGCAGAGCTTCCATGGGCACGGGGCCGACGTGCTCTGCTTGGACCTGGCTCCCTCAGAAACCGGGAACACCTTCGTGTCCGGGGTAAAGACCCAAGGAAGATCTCTGGGGGGTCCTTTGTCCACTAGGGAGGCTCATGGTAGCACTTCCTGTTAATCTGTGGGACTAGACTGGACACTTCCCTGGATGGGGCTGAGATTCCTTAAATAAGTAGCAGAGAGTGAGCCTCTGAGACCTTTAGAGACAGTCGCTAGGCACCAGGAGGCTCAGGTGGCAGTGGTGGCGAAGCATCGCTGTGGCGTGATCAGAGCTTTGACACTGGTGGGACACTCTCCCGCCCCACCCCTGCCAGTCGCCAGCCCCTCCCACTCTCGGGCACAGGGAACAGCGTATCTGAAGGCTACGAGTCGGACAGGCAGGCCACCGTGGCAGAGGAGCACCAGATGAGCCAGGACACCTGGGACCCACGTTTGCTACCTGACTCTCCATTTCATCCTCTGTAAATTGGGCATAAGGCACGATAGCATTTGCCCCCCACCTTCCCCAGGATATTGTGAGCAGTAGAGGGAAGAGTTTACAGTGTGGTATGCAGAGAGGCAAGTATTTCTATGGACACCTGGGAATAAGAATGGAGAACTGAGGTGGCTGGCCTGACCCCTGGGTCCTGTCTCATCTCGCTCAGGAGACAAGTGATGAGAGAGGACAGAGATGCAAACGCTGTCTAATGATGTTTGCTCCGAGCTGCCCACATCTTAGTCCTGGGCCTCAGGTGAGGGCTGTGAGGCCTCGAGTGGGCAGGGATCCTGATTTTCTTCTTGGGTATTTGGCCCTATCTGTGTACATTTCATTCTTGTGTCTTTGTATAACTGTATTTATCCCTACTCAACGACACTCTTTTTTCAAATTGTTGGTATCATTGTGGACTGTATCGTCTCTTTCAGAGTATTAAACTCCATCTGATTTAGGGTCCAGTAACGATTTGAAGAGACTCGCTGATTCCTTTGTCCACATTCTCAGTAAAGATGCTTGGAGTGCTGAACTCCCACAGCAGGTCTCGCTGAGACATCAGTCGTGGCACCTCATCCACCCTCTCCTCTGAGTTGAAACCAACAACCTGGACACTAATTTTAACCCATGACTCCTTCTGTTTGACCTTTGAGAGTCTAATTATACTGCTCATGCTTGATCACAGAAGGCTCTGCAGGAATTTATCAAAATGCTCCCGGAAGCAAGAGAGTATGTGAAAGCCTAGTGTTCATGATTCTCTGGGTCATGGTAGCAACCCAGAAAAGGCTCACTTTACAGGTGTTGAGGCAGAAGTCCAGGGAGGTGACTTGCCTGAGCTACCCAGCTGACTGCAGGCAACACCCTGACTAGGGTGCTGGGGTGCAGCTGGCCCAGGGGCTGCCCCACACACCTGAGGCAAAGCTGGGAGGTCCCACCACACCCACTGTCCACCTGCCCTCCTCTCCTCTGGGCTTACAGAGGCAGAGATAAAGAGGAGGGGGAAAGAGAGGGAAAAGTGAAGAGAGATGCCCAGGAGGAAGGAGAGAAGGAGGCTCTGGAGAGTTTGCAGCCCCTCAGAAAGGTGGGAGAGAAGAAAACATGCTTAAAAGGGGGCTGGGTGCCTTCCCTTGCTCGTCACCCTGACCCCAAGACCTCTCTCTGGCCGCGTGAGGGCTTGTCAGTTGAGGAAAGTGGCCTTAGGTAAAGCTAGTGCCAGAAGAGCATATTGTCAGCCATTTACTAATGGGAACTAAAAGGTCTCTGTGACATAACCAGAACTCATGCCTGTCTGTAGACATTCCTTGCATTGTACATAACTCTGGGTAACTTTCTGTTTGTAGGGGTGTGACAAGAAAGCCATGGTGTGGGACATGCGCTCCGGACAGTGCGTGCAGGCCTTTGAAACGCACGAATCTGACATCAACAGTGTCCGGTCAGTGAGTAGAATGTTCACGTTGCTCCTCTGTCCTCCAGTGTTCCCCGGCCTGGGCTAGTACTTAGCCTCTAGGCTCAAGTTACTTGGCCGAGAGAGGCTTTTCCAGCAATAATGGCTGATTTGTGGTGGGACTGAACAGCACTCCCGATTTCTTGGAGAATTTTAATATAATTGCACTAGGGGCAATGGATATCATCCTGTCTAGGTCAAGTCAGTGTTTCTCATTCATTCATTCAACAAATGTTTATGAAGTCCTTATCTGCTAGACATTATTCCAGAAACTGGGAGTACTGTTTTGAACAAGACAACATCGCTACTGTCCTACAGAAGACAAAGCACAGATAAACGTGCTGTTTAAGTACTGCTAAGTGCTAAGAAAAAGTAAAACAGGGAACTGTGATACGATGGGTTATTTCTTTGAATGGTCAGGCCTCTCTGATAAATTGATGTTTAAATTGAGACCAGGATAATGAAGGAGCCAGGCTTGCAAAGAGCCGAGGGGAAGATCAGGGAGGTGAGATGTTCAGGGAGCTAACAAAAGGCCAGGTCACCACTAGCGAGTCCTGAGCTGGGGAGGTGGCTAGCGTGATCCACGTTTTGCCTTTAAAAGGTCACTCTGGGTGCTGTATGGAGAATGGATTGTAGGGGAGCAAGAATGGAAGTATGATGGCCAGTTAGAAGGTTGTTGTGTGAGTTTTAGAATGAAATGATGGTGGCTGCAACTAAAGAAGACACACAGGGAGGACAGAAATGTCTAGAATTGTGAAGGACTTGAGATTTTATCCTAGCTGCAAGCTATGAAGTAAGGCTGCCACAGATTCATGGATGCTGCTAGAAGGCATGAGACTCCTGGGTTAGAGATGAAGGATAGTTGGTTACTCATAGTGATGGCAGTAGCTGGGGTATCAGCATTTTTGTGCTGGTTACCTAAGCCCCAATTCTATAGGGTCACATGAAAAGGGCCAGATGACACCTGCCCATGCAAAGGGCTGCATTATAGGAGAAGAACCCTGAGCTCAGGGAACCTGTATCTTTTATAAGGGGCAGTAAGCATTGATCCATTTGCTAAGACAGGGAGGGTTGGAGGCAGTGCAGGGAGAAGGCAGTGGTTGCATATGGATTCTGGAGCTCTGTCTTGGGCTAGCTAAGTCTGAGACGCTATTATACGACCAAGTGGAAATGTCAAGTAGGTAGCAAGAGCTGTGAACCGGATTCCAAGAGAGAGGTCAGGACTTGACATATATATTTAGAAGCTGGCACTGTCAGGACAGCATTTAAAGTATAATCACTCAAGAATATTTATACTTAGAGGAAAGTACTAGACTTATTCCCCTTAAAAGCCAGAACACAGGGCTCCCCTGGTGGTGCAGTGGTTAAGAATCCACCTGCCAATTCAGGGGACACGGGTTTGAGCCCTGGTCCGGGAAGATCCCACAGGCCGCAGAGCAACTAATCCCGTGTGCCACAACTACTGAGCCTGCGCTCTAGAGCCCGTGAGCCACAACTACTGAGCCCGTGTGCCACAACTACTGAGCCCGTGTGCCACAACTACTGAAGCCTGCACGCATAGAGCCCGTGCTCTGCAACAAGAGAAGCCACAGCAATGAGAAGCCCTCACACTGCAACCAGAGAAAAGTCCACATGCAGCAGTGAAGACCCAACACAGCCAAAAATAAATAAATAAAATAATAATAATAATAATTTTTAAAAAGCCAGAACACAATAAGAATACTTAATTACCTTAGTGGTAGAAATATTAATGAGAATTTTCAAGCTCTTTGACCTCAAATGTAGGAAAGGAAAACAGGGGAAAAAAAACTATCACTTTTTGCAAACGTGCAGTAATTACCCAGAAAATCCAAGGAAATCAATTGAGAAATTACTACAGATAGTAAATGAGGTTTTTTGTGTTTTTTTTTTTTGTGGTACACGGGCCCCCCCACTGTTGTGGCCTCTCCCGTTGCGAAGCACAGGCTCCGGACGCGCAGGCCCAGTGGCCATGGCTCACGGGCCCAGCCGCTCCGCGGCATGTGGGATCTTCCCGGACCGGGGCACAAACCCGTGTCCTCTGCATCAGCAGGCGGACTCTCAACCGCTGCGCCACCAGGGAAGTCCAGTAAATGAGGTTTTTAAGATACAGGATAGAATATAAAGCCACAAAACTAAATTAAATCCCTATATATTCATGAAATAACAGCTTAAACATGCACGTTCTCTCACCCATGCTGTTCCCTCTACCCAGAACCCTCTTCTAATATCCACCAGGTCTCTACTTAGGCTGCCCTCTGTCCAGAAGGCCTGATTATTTTTCTCTTTAGATATTTATTTATTTTGGCTGTGCCAGGTCTTAGTTACAGCACACGGGATCTTCGTTGTGGCGTGCGGCATGCACACGGGATCTAGTTCCCTGACCAGGGATCGAACTCGGGCCCCCTGCACTGGGAGCGTGGAGTCTTACCTACTGGACCACCAGGGAAGTCCCTGAAGGCCTGATTAGAGGAGAGGATGACTATAACAGTAATAATCATTAGTTATTGCATGCTTTTTATTTGGCACCATGCCACGTTCTTTGTATAATACATATAGTGTCTTATTCAGTCTTTACAGCAGGAAATGTACATTATCCTCCTCACTTTTCAGATGAAGAAACTGAGGCTGGGCCAGGTGAAGGCACTTGCCAGAAGTATCCCATGTAGTGAGTGGTCAGTGCAGACAGCTTCCCGTGGCTCTGTATATCTGATTGCAGTGTCTGTGTTTATAACCACTGTCCTATCCCTTAGCTCTGGCCAAGTCTTGGGAATGGGGTATATGATCAAGGGGAAGCAAGGATACAGGGGACCTGCCTGTGTTCGGTGTCTGGTACAGATATACATATTATCTCATTTACTCCTTGCCAATACTCTGCAAGGCCAGTGTCACTGTCCCCTGTTTACAGAGAAGAAAATTAGGTCAATGGGACCTTCCAGATGAGCCTCCCTTTCTGGCCTCTGTAATGAGTGGTCTGTGCATCCCTAGAAGTCTGGGGGACCAGCATGGGACAGCCTTCCCAGATGGTTCTGATGGGCACCCAGGACTGGGAATCACCACTCTAAGTGCTTTCTCCCCACACTTTCTCTCTGCAGATACTACCCGAGTGGAGATGCCTTTGCTTCGGGATCAGATGATGCTACGGTATGTTTCTAAGTTATTGAGAGCTTTTCCTATCCAAAGGAGAGATATGCTGACCTGATTTTAGTTTTCAAAAATAACTTTTTTCCTGATTACAGAACTGATGTGACTTCAATAAAGAAAACTTGGGGGAAAACACTAAATTATGTTAATCATTATACCCAAGAAAAATCACAGTTCAGTGAATTCCTTTCTGTCTTTTTAGTTTTTAAACAAAATGCTTTATAATTTGCTTTTTCCACTTAGCAATAGATTGTGAACATTTTCCCATGCCAATACATATTTTTCTCCCACATTATATTTTCTTAATGATTGAATAGTTTTCCACGTTTTGGATATGCCATCATTTACTTAACCAGTCTACAAGTTTTGGGTCATTAGGTTTTTTCCAAGGTTTTTTTTCCTGTTAAAAACACTGCTATAAGCAAATATTTTTGGTACCTCTCTTATCATTTCCTTAGAATTAATTCTCTGACATGAACTTGTTGAGTTAAAAATCAGCCTAGGTTTTTTTTTTTTTTTTTTTTTTTTGCGGTACACGGCCCTCTCACTGTTGTGGCCTCTCCCGTTGCGGGACACAGGCTCCGGACGCGCAGGCTCAGCGGCCATGGCTCATGGGCCCAGCCGCCCCGCGTCATGTGGGATCTTCCCGGACCGGGGCACGAACCCGCGTCCCCTGCATCGGCAGGCGGACTCTCAACCACTGCGCCACTGGGGAAGCCCCAAATCAGCCTAGTTTTAAGGCTTTTGATACTAATTGTCAAATTATGTTGACCTATATTTCAGGAGAAAAAAAATATCCTCCTGTGCCCTCAAAATAGCAAATATCTTATTAAATAATGAACTGCACTCTAATTTGCTATCCTGGAAGAAATTACAGGGGAATAGATTGAGGGTTTGATAATCATGAAAATTTAAAACTTCTGTATTTCAAAAAATATTTAACAAAATTTAAGGGCATACATTTGGGAGAATTCAAGAGCTTTCAAAACTTCCCTACCCTTTGATCCAGCCATGCTATTTCTTGGGAACAATTCTATTCTAAGGATTCTATTTTTTAGCTATTCTAAGGAAAATATCAGAGATGCATATAAAGATTTTTATAGAAGAAGGATCATGGCTTCCCCATAATTTTATTTGTAAAAGAGAAAAATCAGACGTAATCAAACACTTAGCAGGGTATAGCTGAGTAGATTCTGATATATCCACATGAGGAATATAACAACCATATTACTCCTGTTTTTTTTTAAGATTATTTAACGATATGAGAAAATGCTCATAACATAATGCTAATAGAAGCAATAATGAAACATCCTCCCCATTTAAATCCACACATAAAATAGATTAAGACTGAAAGGAATAGTCCAGATGTTAGTAAATACCTCTAGGATTGGGAGTGACGTTTATTTCCTTCTTTATGCATTTCTGAGTTTTCCTGAATTTTCTGCAGTGAACACATATTCTTTGTCAGAAAAAAAAAGAGGGCTTTCATTTTTGTTTTTGTACCTAAAGAAATCTGTATTTGCTGTTTCTTTGAATCTCCAGTAATCCCTGGAGATTGATAGGAATCGGGATTGAGGGAGAAAATACTAGGAGAGAAAACGAAAGAGGTTTTTCCCTTATCCCTCAAACTACACAAGCCACTGGCACCAGCCTGTAGCTCTGTAGCCATCAATGCACCAAACAGGATCCAGAAACAAGTGCCTCTTTGTCTTCTTTGTCACCCCAGTGTCGCCTCTATGACCTCCGGGCAGACAGGGAGGTTGCCATCTATTCCAAAGAGAGTATCATCTTTGGAGCTTCCAGCGTGGACTTCTCCCTCAGTGGTAAGATTTTATTGCAGAAACTTTCCCAGGACTGTAAAACAGGACTTCAATGAAACCCAGCTCTGCCAAGCTTCCCCTCCTAGCTAAACTTCCTATGGGTCCATGTGCTAAAGAGTCTACTTTTGCACCAGTTTTCCTCCACTGCATTTTTGACAGCCCGCTTTGCCCTGCCTGAAGCAGCTTCCCCAGTCCAGTTCACTCCACGGGAAATGAAGGCTGGGCCCACCTAATGCTCTTCTTCAAAACAATGATGTATCAAAACTGCATCTGCGCCTTTAGGCATTTCCTCTCCAGCCTTCCATTTTCCTTTCACACCTGAAAAGGGACCTTTTTTTCCAGAGGTGGGGCGGTGCGGGGGGGGGGGAGTGAGCAAGAGTCCCTTTCTTAATTCCCTGAAGCTCATGGCACCTCTGCCCTCACAGCTGGGGAGGCTGCCTGTGAAAGTTAAGGCAGCACTCGTATGCTGGGTCACTGGACCATTCAGTTTTCCCAGACACCCCCCGGTTGTGTAGCTGTGCTTTTGTGCATACATGCTGCTACTGGAACGTCTTTTCCCGTCCTTCTCTGCATTGCAAACTCCTATTCAGTCCTCAAAAGCCAGGTCAAATGTTGCTTTCCCTGTAGTGCCCTTTTTTAAAAAAAATTTTAATTTAATTTTAATTTATTTATATATTTTTGGTTGCATTGGGTCTTTGTTGCTGTGCGTGGGCTTTCTCTAGTTGCATCGAGCAGGGGCTACTCTTCATTGCAGTGCACGGGCTTCTCATTGCGGTGGCTTCTCTTGTTGTGGAGCACGGGCTCTAGGTGCGCGGGCTTCAGTAGTTGTGGCACGCAGGCTCATTAGTCATGGCCTTCAGGCTCTAGAGCGCAGGCTCAGTAGTTGTGGTGCATGGGCTTAGTTGCTCCGCGGCATGTGGGATCTTCCCAGACCAGGGCTCGAGCCCATGTCCCCTGCATTGGCAGGAGGATTCTTAACCACTGCGCCACCAGGGAAGTCCCCTGTAGTGCCCTTCTTGATTCCCCTTCCTCTATGATCACATAACACTTCACACATAGCTGAGCACTTCCATGACAGCCCTTACCACAGGGTGCTGCAATGATTTATGAGTCAGCCTGCCCACCACCACCCTCCACAGGGGCCAGCAACTGTGCTTTCTCCTCTTTGAATCCCCAGGGCAAAGCACAGTGCCTGGCACATAATGGGCACTAAATCACTGTTTATTAAATGAATGAATGAATGAATGAGTGAGTGCATGAGTGAGAGTCATGAAAAGAAAAACAAGAAGGAAGGAACTGGTTTCATAACCATCATATCCTCCTGCTTTAAGGTCGCCTGCTGTTTGCTGGATACAACGATTATACCATCAACGTCTGGGATGTCCTCAAGGGATCCCGAGTCTCCATCTTGTTTGGACATGAAAACCGTGTTAGTACTCTACGAGTTTCCCCTGATGGGACTGCCTTTTGCTCAGGATCATGGGATCATACCCTCAGAGTAAGAGAGAAGTTTTTCTACTTTCCTCTGTGTGTGAGAGCAGGAGTGATTGGCCTTCCTGAAAGCAGAGGGGTCAGAGTAAGCTAGGATGGGCCTGGGCAGCCAAAATGGAGCTCTACTTTCAATTCTATAGCCACAGAGAAATGATTTGCCTGGGGAGGTAGTGAGTTCCCCATCGATGCAGCTATTCAAGCATAGATACCCTAAAGGTCTGATTCCAGCCTTTGACAAGTCAGATTGCCAGTCTCACCTCCCAGTAGTGCTGGGTTCTTAATCTTTGGTCACAGACCCCTGTGAAGCCCACACAGGGGCTTCAGGAGACCTACGAAGCCCCTGCAATTATATGCTAAATTGTGTGTGTGTGCGTGCGCGCGCGTGCGCATTTTTCCAGGAAAAGTGTCCTCATGGCTTTTATTAGATTCTCAAAGAGCTCCATGACTTTGTCAGATGTTGGCTCCCTAGAAATGCCACCAAAGTAACCTGTTCATCAAGCAAAGCTTACCTCACTGTGGAAGATCACAAACTTCACAGTCTTATTAGCATTTCAGAAGGGGAGAGCAAAGGCAGGTATTTATGAGGTTTGGGGAGTCTGGTTGAAGGCAAGTCTTTTGATGGAGGGACTTAATTCGGATTGGACAAATTTGTGGCATAGTTTAAGATTGTGGACACAGGGTGGGGGGAGGGAGAGAATTTCGAAGACCGTCTTGAAAAGTAGGCGGTCATTTGATGCTGTGTACTGTCGTGAGAAGTGTGTCTTTTCTAAAGAGGGTAATTGAGTAGTCTAGTCTTAGGGTAAATAGATAAAAGGATTTTTGCAAAGTTCCTGAAACAAACAGTAAAGTTATCTGTGACTTCATCATCCTGGGCAAGAGTTTGCTAAATTAATAAACATGTCAGTGTACCCAGTGAGCTGAATGGGTACAGAGGGTTCTGGTTTTCAATCTAAGAGTTACCTTCCCTAGCAAGAAGGCCACAGATGCCCTTCAGATGATTAACTAAGGGAGAGGGGGAGCCAGGGCCAAAGAAGCACCTTTGAGTTGCTAGGAGTGAAGTGTTATCTTTCTAAGACATGTGAATGCTCTATTTTGGATGTCGTGTGTATGTTTGTGTATAGTAGACTTTGATTTTATCTCTTTAAACTCAGGTTTTACAAGTCATTAACTGCAAACAGACTAAAAATTATCTATTTGTGTCTTTGCAGGTCTGGGCTTAATCGTAATTCACACATAGGTACCTGAGAATAGAATTTGAAATCGTCACATGTAAATAGATCTTGCTTCTAGAGGATCTCAGAGTTTATTGCAACTTAGCTTAAGGGAGCAGCTCCATGACTGAAAGTTCAGCAAGCATCTCCAATATTACTGTTAAAACCACCACCTGGAAAGATCCCAGTGTGAGCCTTTAGCACTATGAGAACACCTTCAAGTACAGTGTTTTTCATTTCAAACACTTTTTAAAATGTATCTGTTTTTAAGGTTATTCTAAACTATCGTCTCAACTCATTCTATCCCCAGTACAGTTCAGCATATAATATATTCCATATTGTTTCCTTGAATCAAATTTATTTTTCGGAGCACTTTAAAAGCTGATTTTTCTCAGTGTACACTGTGACTTTTGGAACGTTCCCCTGCAAGTGCTGACTTTAATGCACTGTGTGAGAAGGACAGTGTTAATTGGTCTTTGATAGAAGAGAATGCCAATTCCAAATGTAATTAGACAGAATCAATTTTTTTAAAGTGTGTTTTTATGGTGAAAGTATCCTTTTCAGCCTTGCGTCCTATTGTATTTTTTCAGATAAAACATTTTCATATGTGTAAACAGTTATAAATGAAGCAGAGATATCATAAAATAGAAGGTTTGATGTGTGAATCTTGTGATTGTGGGATATATCTCTGCATCATGGGGACAGGACGTTTTCTTAGAGGGAAACGCTGAATGTTGTTTGTGACACAAATGCTTCTCAGAGCAACCAAAACCTTTCTGTGTAGGAACACAAGACAGTAAACTCATTTAAAAACCTGTTTGTAGTGTTAGACGTATTAGGATTAGTAGCATCTACTCAGGCTAAAATGAATCTTGTTCATATCAGTTATACTCATCTTTATTGCATTGCAAGTGCAATTACATATACAAATTAATTGATAGGTCTCGAATGATAATGTCTTTGTTTCACTTATATCGAGGAAAAATAGCATAAAATATATCTTGTCTTTATGTGAAATTCAGCAGTTCCTTCTGGAAGGTACCAAGTGTTTTAGTTACAGGATCCCTTATTTTCAGTTCTGTTTTGTTTTAAGGTGTAGAGGCTGATTCTTTGTTTTAGAAAACTCCTCACTCATAAAGATGGCATGCACCACTTAGGGAAGTAGAAGGTCATCTCAGACCAAACATGGTTCCTGGGTGAGGCTTGCCCTGTGGGTGGTCTAGGGTCTGGCAGGCCAGGTTCTCCTGGTGCCCGAGGGCTGTGTGTGCTGAGTCCCCTGGATCCTCGGTCCCCTCTCTTGGCCCTGCTCCAGCCTGGCCCTTTTCCTAATGGTAGTTCTGGCTTTGCAGGCCCAGCCGCAGGCTCTGCTGCTTGAAGTTGCCCTTCCAGGGCTGGAGCCATCCGATAGGCCTGGACCCAGTGCCCCTGTAAACCTCAGGGGGCGTGCCAGGCCCACCTGCAAAACAACTTGTTCAGGTATCAAGGTGGGCCCAGTCAGTCAAAAATTACCCAAGCCAGCTTTTCAATCAACTCTTTTTAAATAAACATAATGATTATATGCAATCATTTGCCAAGAAAACAATTTACCAAGGGTTTTACTACACAACAGGCCCTGGAGTAGAGAGAGAAAATATGAAAGGCTCCTGCTCACCCCCCTACCCCCTCACCCCCCCTCCTCTCTCATCCCCCAGACCTCCACCCCGCCCTACCCACCTTGAGAGCCCAGAGGGAAGGGGGTGCGGAGCATGGTCCAGAGGGACAACTTTTCAGCCACCTTCTCCGTCTAGTATAGATTCCAGTCTGAACAGGCGCTCAGGGAAATGGGCACAGGGTCTATCCAGCTCCTGCCAACTGCTGAAGGGCTGGCCCCACAATGTGTCCTGTGAAATTCTCAAGCTCTGCTCCCAGAATGTTCCTGAGCTTGTTCCTGGGATCCTAGTTATGGCATCCCCTTCCCTCTCTCCCACAGACCTTTTTGTGCCTCTGCACTCTGACCTGGGCCTCCCAGAAGTGAAGGAAGGCAGGGCAAAGGAAAAGTTACCCAGACTCTGGGGAAGCAAATTCAAGGTTATATGTTTGGAGAGGTGGGGGAGCATCTTCAGTATATGTGCAAAATAGGCCCTAACTTTCCAATCAAAAAAGTGACCACAATGTGACCACAAAAGTGACCACATTTCAGCCATAAAAAGAAACGAAATTGAGTTATTTGTAGTGAGGTGGATGGAACTAGAGACTGTCATACAGGGTGAAGTAAGTCAGAAAAAAAAACAAATACCGTATGCTAACACATACATATGGCATCTTAAAAAAAAAATGGTTCTGAAGAACCTAGGGGCAGGACAGGAATAAAGATGTAGAGAATGGACTTGAGAACACGGGGAGGGGGAGGGGTAAGCTGGGACGAAGTGAGAGAGTGGCATGGACTTATATACGCTACCAAATGTAAAACAGATAGCTAGTGGGAAGCAGCCGCATAGCACAGGGAGATCAGCTCTCGGTACTTTGTGACCACCTAGAGGGGTGGGAGAGAGACGCAAGAGGGAGGGGATATGGGGATATATGTATACGTATAGCTGCTTCACTTTGTTATACAGCAGAAACTAACACACCATTGTAAAGCAATTATACTCCCATAAAGATGTTTTAAAAAATAAATAAAAAATAATTTTTAAAAAAGTGACCTTCAAGGCCCTAAGAAAGTATTCCCTCAAACACTCACCCCCATGGGCAGTTAGCCACCTCCCCTATAAGTATTTAATCTCACAGTGCCTGTTGTTTAGTATTTATTGATGAAATACTTGGTTGGAAATATACTATACCACATGGAGACTGAAGGATAAACCCCAGGTAATAAATTATATTTTGCATATTCAAAATAATGCTGAGTGGAGTGTTTTAATCTGGTTTTCTTTCTTTAGAGGACTTGGAGGCAAAGCTACCAAACCATTGTGGTGAAGGGACCAAATAGATGTGCCCTGAGGTGTGCATAGCCTTGGACACCCCCTTTCCAGCCAGAGAAGAGAAAGGTTAGGCAGACAGGGGGGTTAAACAAGGAGGTGTGTGATGACAAGTGTTTGTGGGAAATACCTGTGAACTGAAACCAAGGCAGCTGCTTTGGAGGGAATGGGCAGCTGGCCTCCCAGAAGTAGGGCCCTGCTGCTGGTCCTGTTCTGGAATGAGCCCAAGGCCAGAGCAGGCACCCCATATCCACTTCCCTCTTCCCACCCTGGACCTCCTCTATACCCTTCCCAGGATTAGAAGTGGCTTAAAGGCAGTACAGGTTGTAAGGGCCTTAGCATCCTTGCCTCTCATAGTTGCTTGGCCATCTGGCTAGAAGGTGGTCCTGCTGACACTAGGACTCATCTATAAGAGGGGGACAGCATGGGGACAAAGGATGTGCACCTAGTTTCAGACCCAGCTCTACCACTTTTACAGGATATACAATGTCTAAATTGTCTCAGCCTTAGTTCCCTCATCTAGGAAATGGGACCGTTCCAAGGTATGTAAAGTACCTTCCCCTCCTCCCTTTCCTGTTTCCTTCCTCTCCTTTCCAACTCCTTTCCCTTCTCCCCACTCCCTTGCAACATCTCCTCCCTTCTGTCTCTTCTTCTTCTTTTTTTTTTTTTTTGCGGTACGCGGGCCTCTCACTGCTGTGGCCTCTCCCGTTGCGGAGCACAGGCTCCGGACGCGCAGGCTCAGCGGCCACGGCTCACGGGCCCAGCCGCTCCGCGGCATGTGGGATCTTCCTGGACCGGGGCACGAACCCGTGTCCCCTGCATCAGCAGGTGGGCTCTCAACCACTGGGCCACCTGGGAAGTGCATCTTCTTGTCTCACCTCTTTCCTTATCCCCTTCTTCCTCCCCCCTCTCTCCCTCTTCTTCTCCCCCTCCTCCCTATATTCCCCTTCCTCTTGTTCATTCTTTTCTCTCCTCTCCCCCCACCCCACATAAGTGATCCCTACTCATGTATCAAATTGGTAATTATCATCAATTAGAGATTCATCTGGGCCAGTGGTTCTCAAAGTTTTCCATCTTAGGATCCCTCTAGACTCTTAAAAATTATTGAGGACCCCAAAGAGCTTTTTGTTTATATGGATTATATCTATCAGTATTTATCATATTAGAAATTGAAACTGAGAAAAATCATAAAACACAAGAATACAGAAGCACATATTCCAGTGATGATGCCTTCACCACACATCAGTAGCCTCTGGAAAACTCCTGAGAAAGTGAGTGTTTTAAAAGCCACACATATTATTATGTAATATGTATTATTATGAAAATAGTTTTGACCTTGGAGGATCCCCTGGAAGGACTCCCAGGGTCAGATCAACTTTGAAAGCAGCTTATCTGGGCTAATGAGCCCTTTTCCAGCCCCTCCCTGTGAGACCTCCCTGGGGCCATTCAGGCCCTTGTAGGGGTTTGGAAGTGGAGGAGGAAGGTAATTGAGAGAGGGGGGCTCAAGCGGAGGCTCTGGGGCAAACATATGTGGCAGAGGAGGGGCCCTGCGGGCACAGAGGGGCAGTGGGAAAGGCAAGAGACCAATGGGGGCTGTGAATCACTGAAAATCTCTAGATATTTTCAGTATTTTAAAAACAAAAACAAAACCAGAAACCATATAAGTAAGGCTCACCAAAAATGTCACATCTTGATTTTTTGGTTAAAAGTGGGACAAGCGAGCCTGGTAACCCTGGTCAACTCATACTAATAATACAAGCTCCTCTGTAAAGAGCATTTACTATGTGCCAGGTACTATGCTAAGGCCTTTGCACATACCAACTCATGTAATCCTTGTAACAGCCTATAATGCAGTTTATTGCCTCCATTTCATAGGTGGGGAAATTGAAGTTGGGAGGGCTAAATAACTTGCTCATGGTCGCCCAGCTTCTGAGTGGCAGAGGGCGGGATTGTAACCAAATCTGACTGCACACTGCATAGGAAATTCTGTGTGGAGGTTAATTTATTCATTTGTTGTTTGATTGCACTGATAACTATTAGAGTTAACCAATGGCAGGGCCAGAGGATCTACCACTAACCCCCAAGCTACTCCAAATCTAAGAAAAAACTGTGTGCTTGCTGCTAAAATATAATGTCCAAAAAGATGAAATCATGACTCCCTTGAAAATAAAACATGAACATATATCAAAATGTTTATTTAACTTAATAATTAGTTAATAAGGGAATTCATAAGATGTCACAACCAGCTCAGCTTGACGTACAGAGATTTATATTCCCTTCGGGCAAAATTCATTTGGCTCACCATAGAGGAGTCACTGGCACTCGCAGATCAGGCACTCAGTAGTGGCATTAGCCAGCTCAGCCTTTGTAAGGGGAGTTCTGTTGTTGCCACATCCTCGCTCCCTGCTGCATGGCCTCTTCATTCACGGTCCCATGGAGCAAGCACCGTGGCAGCTGTGTAAAGAAGCTCTGCGACCTCCACAGAGCACAGGAGTTTGTCTACCTGATTATTAAGAGTCTTCTCTGCAGTGGCTGCCCTTTGGAGGCGTTGACATGGGAGACGAGTATTTTCATTCTGCCTCTTCAGAGGGGTCCAGCCACATATCTCTGTCCAAGATTTCCTTGTCACCAATCTTCAAGGCCCTGACCATCCAGCCAAACCATTAGCAACTGCCCATGAATCAATGTAGATCTGTACTCTGGCCATCTCTCCCCCCAGACATAGAGTACAGTCATATATCCTGTTTGAATTTCTGCCCACTGGGAGGATTTTCCTTCACCATTGTCTTCACAGTCCCCCATGAGTGGGGCTATAATGCTCCAGCTGTCCACTTTCATGTAGTACCAGCATATCATACAGACCCATCTATAATCCAGGTTTGAGTTTTCTCCCTCAGTCAGCTGGTCATAAGCAATCCCCTGAAGGTCATAGGCATGGAACAAGAGAAGAGGCAAACAACAGGAGCTGTGTTGCAGGGGTCTGAGCCGCCTACTCACAATTTACTTGTACATCATGGACCCGCCTGAGTTCAGTCTCTCATATACCATTTCCACTTGGTGAAAGATTGCTGCCGTGCACACCCAACCTTAAAACAAGGCACGTCAGACAACGTCCATATTATGAGGAGAACTCAAGCTGCATGGTCACCTCATTCAGCCTCTATGAAGACCTAGTAGCAAGCCAGAACCTGCTTCTCAAAAGGATAGTCATCTGCAGAAGAGGATGTAGATTTGCTTCACAATCCTAGAGGTCTGCACCGTAACCGTATCGGTGCTTGCCAGAGGCTCCATACAGTTTCTCTATTTGACACTTCAAGTATCATTGGACCCGCTGGATCATAAAACCCAAGTGATAAGGGCTTCCCTGGTGGCGCAGTGGTTGAGAGTCCGCCTGCCAATGCAGGGAACGCGGGTTCGTGCCCCGGTCCGGGAAGATCCCACATGCCGCGGAGCGGCTGGGCCCGTGAGCCATGGCCGCTGAGCCTGCGCGTCCGGAGCCTGTGCTCCACAACGGGAGAGGTCACAGCAGTGAGAGGCCCGCATACCGCAAAAAAAAGAAAAAGAAAAAAAAAAACCCAAGTGATAGAGTAGCTTGTACTGTAGCCTAGACAGCTGTAGAGCCTTCTCTTGTTCTGCTTCCCAATCCACCCGCCTGTAGATGGGTTGAGGTTGCATACTCAAATGCGTATGTTTGCCTCCAAAGTGACCTACCAAGGGTTGTGCCTCTCTCTTTTTGTCGGTGATACAAGCTGCAGCAATTCATCTTCCAGCCTGACGGGGATATTTCAAAATGCTCCAGACCAATGAACCCTCACAAATTTCACTGCTGGTACAATTCTATGTCAGTCTGTGTCCAATCAGGAGAAAGAAGCCATAGAGTAACATGAACAGAGAAAGATTAGTATAAGAAGTATTAACTATCATAGGGAATTGGAGTAACGGATTGGCCAGTAAAAAGTGGAGAATTCTAAGCAATATAGGGATGGTAGCTTTAAGAAGCAGCCAAAAGCTGGGTACTCCCTCAACCTCTATTGTGGTGATAATTTAACTGTACTGTGATTGCCTGTTTCTTTGTCCCATCGCTAGACTCTAGGGTCCTTGAGAGCAGGAACCACATGCCTTGTTCTCCATTATATCTCCAGTGCTAAGGGGGAGACCTACCACCCCAAAGACTAGGAGTAAATGAGTGAATGAATGAGTGAATGCAGCCAATATTGGCACTCTAGCAACCTGCAGGAGAATCATCCTGTTTCCTGCTACATATCCCAGACCCAAAGAAAAGTACCTCCCACACACACACCTGGATGCTTCAGTCCAATCTGAGAAGATGCTGATAATCCTTTCAAGGGAGCTGCCAGTGGAGGGCTGTGTGTAGCCTTTGTCAACCTTTCCTAAAAAGGAGGCAAAAGACTAGCTCAGCTTCCCAGACTGTCCCCACTGGGTTCTTAGTCCCCAAGCTGAGAGCTAAACAATAACCCCAGAAGAGTCTCACTGTGCCCCTGATTGCTACGTGAACACATACACACAGCTGGGCCTCGTCTATTGGGGCTGGAACAGGTGTAGATGGGATTCCCATCAAAGGCTCCTCTCCGGACCTGGGAAAGCAACTGCCCGGGGCGGACCGGGCCGAGCCGAGCCAAAGCGGAGCGGGGCGGGGCGGGGCGGGGCGGGGCGGGGCGCGGGCGAGCCTATAAAACAGCCCGGGTCAGGCCCCGGCAGAGGTGGAGTCATGGGGGACGCGTTCAGGGAGCGCACAGCTAGGCTGCTGACGGACTACGTGGAGTACTGCGCCAGCGAGCCCGGCACCCCCGTGCGGGCGCCGTCCACGCCCGAGGCCGCCGTGCTGCGCCCGTGGCCGCCTGGAAACAGAAGACCAACCTGCACTTCTTGTCGCAATACCGCGGCTTCCGCGGGAACCGCGTCGAGCTGGTGGCCTGAATGGCGCAGGAGCTAGTCGCCAACAACCGTGGCGGCCCCAGCTGGGGCCGCGTGGCAGCGCTCGTGACCTTCGCGGGGACGCTGCTGGAGAGGCCGCCGCGGGGGACCCTTAGGCGGAAGAAGACGGAGAATGAAGACGTTAGCAGAGACTCCCGGTTCCTGGTGGCCTTGCTGTGTGCTCAGCTCTCCGGACGGCACCGCGCCTGACTGATGGCGAACGGCGGCTGGGTGAGCGCGGCGGGCGTGGGGACCCGGGGCGGGTTGGCAGCCCGCGACGCGCCCACGCGGCCGGCGCCCGGAGGGACCCTGCGGCGCCAGCCCCGTGGGGCGTTCGTTTCAGCAGGCCTGGGACATTCGTGGTGAAGTCCGGCTTTCTCCTCTACTGGCGGAGTCAGTCACCAAAACAGGCCTAGCTAGACGGCTCTCATACTAACCCATTCTGAAACAGCAGCGCACGACTTGGGTTTGCACACTTCGGCCTTGTCCTTGACCGCCCTCGGGGTTTTAGGGTGAGCTCATGTTAGGTCTGGATGCTTTGCTTAGGTAGAAATTCCCAAAGTGGCGAAGTCAGCAACGGGGTGGCCTGGGCCAGGTGGGTTCTTTCTCCAACACTTATTAGATGCACCTTTCTCCATAGACCCCCACGGCTCTGCAAGTCAGAGCACACCAGCCTAAAACGTTAGAATGAAAAGGCAGCCCCTTGTCCAGCCCCCCCCATCTCTCAGGAAGAGCTGAGGCAGAGGTCTCTGGGGGGTGGGGGGGCGGTGGTTGCGCGGGCACCCCGTGGTGCTGACAACTCGAGGTTCCTTAACTGCCAATTCACTGCACCCAGCCCTCAATGGGGAGATAGCCAGGCGCCCTGGCGCGCAGCTGTAAGCCATTGATCTCTATGGTCTAGGCTAGAGCGGGAGGCCCTTGCACTGCAGCTTCTAAACTGAGCTCATGATCAGCGAGAGTCTGGCCAGCCTTCAGTAAGAGGGGAGAATGCCTCCTGGGTTCTGAGCGAGACCCCTGCTTCTTTCATCTCCTCCTTACTGGGGTTGAATCAGCAACCGTGGTGACCCAGGCTATAGAAGAAACACAGCCAAACTATTAAAACCAACAATTAAAAAAAATCTAAGAATCTAGGGAAGACACTGCAGGAAACTTAGCCTCCTGTTTTGCAATTTCCTGGTAGACCTGTATTGATGAATTGGGTTCCATTTGTGGAGGAGAGGTAGTATTTGAATCAATCTTGACCTTGCATGAACAGTTTGAGGTGTTAGCATTAATTCCATTCTTTTGGGATGGGAAGGGATCGGGAGGCGGGGTCTTCAACTATTCAGACCTGTGAACTCTCAGAACGCCACCTGAGCCGTTTTTTCTTAACAAGGCATTTGGCCCCCAAGGGCACTCCGCAATAAAGATGAAATTGATAGGGGCGCATTGTTTTTGTTCTCATCTTTTGGCTAATCACCATTGAGTAAGGAACAATCTTTTAACATCAAGAAGCAGAAATTCCACAAATGAGTAAACTAGACATGCCCACACCTCTCAGCTGCAGTTAAAATGCCACAGGCTGGCTTTCATGTCCCCCCCCCCCCCCCCCCCCGCCATGTTTCTGACTGGAACTGCTTGCTTTATTGTCTCAGGGGATACCTTTCAATTTCGCGATTTGTCAGTTTCCCAAACTGGCATCAGTTCCTTGCTCAGGAAAGAACATGATATAGTATTCTACCTTCCTCTCGGCTTTTGAAAGAAGTGAGTGAAAAGATGAGTATTCTTGCTCTAACTGACAAAGTTGTGTCCCCTATGACCTTCTACCCCCTATGTTAGCCTACTTCTTACAAATACTAACTCGAAGTTTCTTAATTACAAGTTACCTATTGCTCAGGATTTCTTTTCTTTTTTTTTTTTTTGTTTTTTCGCGGCACGCGGGCCTCTCACTGTTGTGGCCTCTCCCGTTGCGGAGCACAAGCTCTGGACACGCCGGCTCAGCGGCCATGGCTCACGGGCCCAGCCGCTCCGCGGCATGTGGGATCTTCCCGGACCTGGGCACGAACCCGTGTCCCCTGCATCGGCAGGCGGACTCTCAACCACTGGGCCACCAGGGAAGCCCTAGGATTTCCTTTTTTTACATTTTAAATTCAGGAGTTGTCTTAGTGTTTAATTTAGAACCTCTGGTGCATTTTATTGAGTACAGGTTTTGAATGTTATGAAGCAATCTAGTTCTCTTCTCCCTCCCCTTATGGGATGGATTTTGTCTCTCCTTCCAGCGCTCATTGCAGCCATCTTGGGAAAGACAGCTGGTCTGGGTTTTTCTCTCACACTCTACAGCAATGATCTTAATCTACTTCTGGTCAAAATTATCGTGAGATCTAAAATTCTTAACTCATTTCTACCTGCCGAACTGTGACCAGCCAAGCAAATTTGAGATGTGAAAGAACAAACCAGAGTAAACCACCTCCTGAGACATTTTTACCTGCATTCATATGAGTCCTACAGTGATTCAGCCAGCATTTTAACTCCTGACAAGTACTGAGAGATATTAGGACAAAGGCACAAATGGCTCTTCTTTAAATGGGAGACACGGGTCTAAAGGCTTATTGCTCCAAAGAATTACAGAAGAAACTGCTTTCCATTAAATAGAAAATACGGGGCTGTTTGCTACCTTTGGATAAGAGTGGATATGTATCTCTCATTTATCCATGATTTCATGTGCTACTGCTGACTAATTTATCAAGGCACTGTGTCAGGGGTGTAAAATGATACTACCAGTCTTCCCAGTCACAGTTTAGTTTAACAAAGAATGTAATAGTAAATCCTTTTTTAAGGAATTCTTTCTAAATCCTTTAAAATATAATTTCTGGGACTTCTAGGTTTTTAGAGTTAATATATTGAAATTTTATTTTTCTGACTTCAATAAATTATTAAATCTTTAAAGTTTTAATTTATGCATCTTTAAAAAAAACAGTTGGGGGCTTCCCTGGTGGTGCAGTGATTGAGAGTCCGCCTGCCAATGCAGGGGACACGGGTTCGTGCCCCGGTCAGGGAAGATCCCACATGCCGCGGGGTGGCTGGGCCCATGAGCCATGGCCACTGAGCCTGCGCTTCCGGAGGCTGTGCGTCCGGAGCCTGTGCTCCGCAACTGGAGAGGCCACAACAGTGAGAGGCCCGCGTACCGCAAAAAAAAAAACAAAAAAAGTTGGTTTTGCTTGGGATTCAATAAGCCTTTATTCTTAGAAGTAACTTAATTGATGACAATTTCCTTTTTATTGTCTCTTTAAATACAACACATACAATTATTTTAAACATTTAATCAATACACAGGCACAGAACAAGTCCTTCTCTTTCACCTTCCATTCTGTAGTCAACCCATCGCTTGAAGTAGATGGAGAAAGAAAACTTTACCCTGTACCTGAGCCCTATGAATTTCAAAGACAAAAAATAGCTTAACAGGAGAGAAACATACAAATCTTATTTGATGTTAATGTTTTTTACAGGGACTTCATAGAAAAGAAGTGAAAACTCAAAGCAGCAGTAAGACTTGGGGTTTACATACCATTTTAACAAAGGGTGATAAATTGTGGAGATATGACTAAACAAAGAAAAGGGGTTTGGGCTTCCACGGGTGGTATATTGTGGGACAGTGACTAGGACTATATGGGGGAAGCTAATGGAAGATGAGGATTATTTTAGTAAAATTAATGTAGATTCATCTTGGTATTAACTCCCATCGCCAGTGATAAGAGTGTTCTCCCCTTCCTGGTACAAGAAGGCACCTTTCTCACAGGAAATTTATGCCCTGCTTTTAGGCAGCAGGGGGTCAGAGAGCCCTTCCTATATATGCTATTTCTCAGTTGCCTTCAGCTAAAATAATCAGTATGCCAAAGTGGCATATTTGGGGGTAACATGTTCTGATCCCCTTCAGTGGTTAACAGTGAACACAGTTATTCTAGTGCCCGCTGGAATCTGCATCCGTCTGTCCTTCGGAGCCCACACAGACCCAACCAAGCTTGCTAGCAGCCAGGGGCAAAGCACCCGTGAGGACAAGAAGCCAGCCCAGATCTGCTTCAGCAGCATCTTCATGGCCAAAGCTGTTGCCGATGCATTAGATCAAGACTTGGACCAAAAGGAATGGATAAAATGATTCAAGATGGAAGAGGTGATGTGACCATTACAAATGGTGCTACCATTCTGAAACAAACACAAGCATTACATCCAACAGCCAGAATGCCGGTAGAGCTAAGGCTCAAGAGAAAGAAGGAAATGATACCACATCAGTGGTCATCGTTGCTGGCTCTCTTTGATTCCTGTACCAGGTTTTTTCAGAAATGGATTCATCATTTCCAGATCACTTTAGAAGGATTTGGAAAGGGTACTGAAATCTTGACATGCCGTGACCTGTGGAAGCGAGTGACAGAGAAGTGTTGTTAAACAGTGCAGCCACTTCACTGAGCTCAGCAGTTGTCTCTCAGTATTCAAGTCTTTCTCTTACCTGAGTGTAAATGCAGGGAGGAAAGTGATTGATCCAGCCACAGCTACTGTTGTAGATCTCAGAGATGTCAGAATAGTTAAGAAACCTGCTAATGCCCTCCAGGGTATAATGCTAAGTGAAATAAATCAGAAAGACAAATACTGTGTGATCTCTCTTACAGGTGGAATCTAAAAATAAAAACAAAAAAACAAGCTCATAGATAGAGCAGGTTGGTGGTTTCCAGAGGTGGGGGTAGAGGGGTGAGAGAAATGGGTGGGTAAACTGTTATTGTTTTTTTGCTTGTTTTTAGTTTAAATAAACTGTCATTTTTTTTTTTAAAAGGAAACTTGGTGGGACAATTGATGATTTTGTGTTGGTGGAAGGGCTGGTTCTCACCCATAAGGTGGCCAATTCTGACATATCCAAAGTTGAAAAGATTAAGATTGGGCTTAAAAACAGATCATGATAATCAAACAGTTGATTCTTAAGACATGCTCTTAGTGATCTTGTATTAAATTTCCTGATCAAAATGAAGATTGTGGTAGTTAAGGACATTGAAAGAGAAAATATTGGAACCAAGCCAACTGCTCATACTGACTAACTTGCCTGCTGACATGCTGGGTTTGGCTGAATGAGCTGAGGGGGTCAATTTACATGGTTCTGGCACACTGCTCAAGATTACAGGCTGTATTATCCCAGGAAAAAGTTATAGCTGTTGTTCCTGGTTCTAACACATTGGTGATTGAAGAAGCCGGGCCCTCAGTTCATGATGCCCTATGTTTTATTCATTGTTTAGTAAAGCAGAGAGCTCTAATTGCAGGAGATAGTGCTCCAGAGATAGAGTGGGCCCTGTGGTTAACCGGATATTCATGAACATTGAGTGGTATGAAATCCTACTGCGTTCATGCCTTTGCAGATGTTACTATGGAGCTCATTCCATCTACACTAGCTGAAACTGCTGGACTGAATCCCATGTCTACAGTCACAAAACTAAGAAAACCGGCATGCCAAGGAGAAAAACTTTAGGCATTAATGTCCAAAAGGATGGTATTTCCAACGTTTTGGAGGAACTGGTTATTCAGCCTTTGTTGCTTTCAGTCAGTGTACTGACTCTAGCAACTGAAACTGTGTGGCCCTGCAATAAACCTTTCTCTGCTCCAAACTCTGATGTTTCAGTTTGTTTTTCACTGTATGTGGGGCATATGAACTTGCATTTGGTAACAGTATGAAGTAGGACTCACTTCTTATAAAAGAAGAGTTGGGGTGGGTGTTTCAGCACTGTTTATAGATGGTCCATTTTTTCCCAGCTAATCTGAATGTTTAGTTTGTTGACTTATCTTTTCCTCTACTGATAGCACTCTGTCTCAATTACTATATGTTTATGACATGTTTAAACATCTGGTGTTATAGTCTAATTTACCCCACCATTCTTCTTTCTCAAAAAAAAAAAATCCTTGGCCATTTCTGTGAATTGTTTAAGTTGAATTCTGAAAACCAGTTTATAAAGAATCCATTAAGACATTGCTTTAGGATTTTGAATAGAATGGGATTGGATTATAAATCAATTTGGAAAAAAGTAGTAACTTTACAATATTGTGTCTTCCCTTCTTATTTAGGTCTCTTATGGTTTTCTTCATACAGGTCCTGTGTTTTTGCCAGGAGTATTCCAACTCTGAGTTCTTTTGCCACTGGGAATAGAATCTGGAGAGGATGTTTTGCCTTCCCAGAGGGAGCCTGCCTTGAAGAGAAGAGCTCACAGGACAGAGGTCAGAGATTGGGGGTGGGATGGAGCATGGAGAAAAAGTTTTGATGACATGACTGAAATCTCACAATCTGGCTGAGCCTAAAGCTTGTTGGGGCTCAATGAATTTCCTTTTCTTCTTAAACTGATTTTTTTTTACTTTTATTTTATATTGGAGTATAGTTGATTAACAATGCTGTGTTAGTCTCAGGTGTACAGCAGAGTGATTCAGTTATATACATGTATCTACTCTTTTTCAAATTATTTTCCCATGTACATTGTTACATAATATTGAGCAGAGTTCCCTGTGCTATACAGTAGGTCCTTTTTGGGTATCTATTTTATATATAGCAGTGTATACATGTCAATCCCAAACTCCCTGATGATCCCTCTCCACCCCCCACCCTTCCCCTCTGGTGACCATTTGCTCTGTAAGTCTGTGAGTCTGTTTCTGTTTTGTAAATAAGTTCATTTGTATCATTTTTAAAGGATTTTTTATATAAGTGATATATGATATTTGTCTTTCCCTGTCTGACTTATTTCACTTAGTACAATAATCTCCAGGTCCATCCATGTTGCTGCAAATGGCATTATTTCATTCTTGTTAATGGCTGAGTAATATTCCATTGTTTATATGTACCATATCTTCTTTATCCATTCTGTCGTTGGACATTTGGGTTGCCTCCATGTCTTGGCTATTGTAAACATTGCTGCAGTGAACACTGAGGTGCATGAATCCTTTCAAACCATGGTTTTCTCCAGATATATGCCCAGGAGTGGAATTCCTGGATCATATGGTAGCTCTATTTTTAGTTATTTTAAGGAACCTCTGTACTGTTCTCCTTAGTAGCTGTACCAATTTACATTCCTACCAATAATGTAGGAGGGTTCCCTTTTCTCCACACCCCCTCCAGCATTTATTGTTTGTAGACTTTTTGATGATGGCCATTCTGACTGGTGTGAGGTGATATCTCATTGTAGTTTTGATTTGCATTTCTCTAATAATTAGCAATGTTGAGCATCCTTTCATGTACCTGTTGGCCATCTGTATGTCTTCTTTGGAGAAATATCTATTTAGGTCTTCTACTCATTTTTTGATTGGGTTGTTTGTCTTTTTGTTATTGAGCTGCATGAGCTGTTTGTAAATTTTGGAGACCAGTCCCTTGTCGGTCACATCACTTGCTAATATTTTCTCCCATTCTGTGGAATGTCTTTTCATTTTGTTTATGGTTTACTTTGATGTGCAAAAGCTTTTGAGTTTAATTAGGTTCCATTTGTTTATTTTTGTTTTTATTTCCATAACTCTGGGAGACGGATCAAAAAAGATGTTGCTGCGATTTATGTCAAAGTGTTCTGCCTATGTTTTCCTTTAAGAGTTTTATAGTGCCTGGTCTTCAGTTTAGGTCTTTAATCCATTTTGTGTTTATTTTTGTGTATGGTGTTAAAGAGTGTTCTAATTTCTTTTTTTTTTTTTACATGTAGCTGTCCAGTTTTCCCAGCACCATTTATTTAAGAAACTGTATTTCCCTCATTGTAGAGTCTTGCCTCCTGTGTCATAGATTAATTGACATAGCTGCATGTGTTTATTTCTGGGCTTTCTATCCTGTTCCATTGAACTATATTTCTATTTCTGTGCTAGTACCATAATGTTTTGATGACTATACCTTTGCAGTATAGTCTGAAGTCAGAGCACCTAATTGCTCCAGGTCCATTTTTGCTTCTCAGGATTGCTTTGGCTATTCAGGGTCTTTTGTG